GAGCCCATCTCCTTCATTCACACACCCACTCCAGGCCCTGAAGTCAGGTGTAGGGCTAAGATTAAAAATCAATCTCTGGATATTTCCGTGTGGATATTTCCTGTATCCATACGGCCTCTAGACCGGTGGGGGTGGGGGGGACAATGAATGGGTGGGCACTCAAAGAGTGACCACCCCTGGGAGCTACCCCCATTGGCATGTGGCATGTATCTCAAGAACTGACCTCCCCATCCAGAGAATGCTACAAGGTAAGGGGTAGAAGGACAAAATCCCATTGGATTATGTCTTTTTGGATGTGACCACCAACTAAAACTTCAAGAAAGGCCAAGTCACCGGCCATGACCCTAGGAGCTCTAAGCCCCTTCTCCAATTCTCCCAAGCCAGTAAGGAGCCTATAAGAAGAGTGGCTGCTGAGGGGATTTCTCCCTGGGGCCCATTTCTCAATACCACCGATATCACCATCAGACAACCTACAACCGGGCCCAAGACGGCTTGAAACACAATACTGGACCCTCCCCCATAGGGCTGCACAAGAAGCAAACCTCACTGGAAACCATTTCAGGTTCCAGGCTCAGGACCCCCACAGGATTTTGGAAGTGGGAGGTCCTACCCTCACAAAAGCCACAGGGAGAGAAAGGTCTCCAAGAGGAGGCAAAGCCTGCAGTCTATAACCCACCACAATTCCTTCCCTCCCTCTGCCCATCAGAGAGGGCTCCAAACAGAAGGTGGGCTTTGGGCCACGCCCCATGAAAAAGATGTCCCTCCCACATACTCAGAAATGGCCACAAGGGGGTGCAAGGCACTTATCGGGAAGGATCTCCACTGTCTAGATGCCCCACCACCACCCAAAGGGAGGTCACAGGGGCATGCCCCATCCCCCCCAGCTCCTAGAGCCCCAGAATGGGGAGAATCGAGGAAAAGAAAAGGGGAGGGGCGGGGGACTAATTCTTCTTCCTTCCATCCCACAGCAGGGTACATGAAACATGGACCGATGCCCCAGCAGAAGCCCCCAGACCCAGGAAGGGGGTTACGGAGGGTCGAGAAGCACTGCCTCTCCCAAGAGACTCCCTACGTCGTGAAGGGCCCCAGATAAATTCTGGTCCAAGGTGAGAGTCCGGTCCCTATGGGGAGGACTGGGGACTTAAGATAGAGGGTCGCAGCCTCCTTCTCGCCCCCCCTCTGGCGCCCCTCCCCCGACCGGGGGCGGGGCCTTTGTCCTGCACGTGGAGCCCGCCGGGCCACCGGGATCGGCACACCCCCTCCCCACCCACCGCGCCGCGGCCACGTGGGGGCTCGGCCGGAAGCGCCCCCAGCCCTTCTCCACGTGGGAGGGGGAAGGATCCCCTAAGTTCGGCAGGGTGCTGGAAGCCCCTGAAACCTAAGAAACCCCCTACCTCAAACGATATCCCTGAATCTAGGGCATGCGGCGCCCGCTCAGTAAGGTTGGAGACCTTCAGCCCCAATTCGCCGATTCAGGGCCCCTTCCCCACAACGCAGGCATAAAACACCGACCCCAAGCCTTCTCCCGCCCCCAGCGGTACTCCAGGCACTCACCTCCATGATGCAGTTCGCGGCCTCGGCTGCCGCCATCTTCACCCGCAACTACTCCTCCTCCGGCCGCCGAGACCCCCCCCTTTCTCCTCACTCCCCCGGGACCGCCTTATACCGGAGGGTCCACGGCCCGCCCACCGCAACCCCGCCAGAAAGTCTCATTGGTAATGGAGGCGGCTCATCTGAAAATGCCGCCTAGCAATTCGTTGAAGAAGATGCCCATCAAAGGTCAGGGGCCCACCCAGCTCAGCGTTCACAGCCCCGCCCCCTGAAGAGGACTGGGATGGGCAAAACTACCTGTCTATTTCAAGAAGCCCTTCTGGTGGTTGGGCAAAGGTAACCAGAAACTCCCGCCCCTTCTCCCTGCAGCACCGCCTCAAAGCTTCCCAGCGGGCTCCGCGCTGAGCGGACGTCTGGAAACAGAACTGTCCGTAGCCAAAACGACCCGCCTCTTGAGCACTGCTATTGGCTTACCAAAAGGTGACGTTACGAAGTCTTTGGCCAGCCCTCCCCTAGCTGCTGGCTTCAAGAAGAACATGGCAATTGGTTCACCAGGAGGGAAGAGAGGTCTTTAGGTACTAGCAATTGGCTCAAAGAAACTGTCACTCATCGTCCATTTGGCGGATCCTCGCAGTCCAGGGAGAACAAGGGCGCTTATGCACATTCACCTAGGGGGAAAAAATGAAGTACTGAAAGGCCAAAAGCGAGGGAGGCCTCGTCAGGTGCCCCAAAACATTTCGGGAATGGGAATAAGATGTCAATGCAATTAAACCCAAGCCCACCGCTTACCTTCCAAGTTTTTAAAACCCATCACCTCCTCTCTAGCCGCTTGGCCTTTGCCAAGACCCTCCCCTTGCAGGGAACACCCACCTCCCTTTGTCTGGTCAACTCCTGTACCTCTGAGTACAGTTCAGACACCCACTTCTCCGGGAAGCTTTTCTCGATGCGCAGAAAAAAAGTGCTAGTTGAATGAAAACGACTTAAAAGGCTGACTTCGTGAACCCTGCTTCTCACGTCTCCTTATGCACCAGTGTCCTGAGTTCAAACTTTTGTCCAGTTCCAGAATGAGCCCTTTTTGTTGAGCTAGGCCTCTGCACAGGCTATACTCCCTGGCATGCTTCCTTCCTGGAAAACTCCTAGCACTTTAAGATTTCCAATATGACTTTGTTGTTACTGTTGTTTGGTACCAAGGATTGAATCCAGAGACGCATAACCACTGAGCCACAACCCCAGTCCTTCTTATTATTTTTTGTTTTTGAGACAGAGCTTCGTTGAGATGCTTAGGGTCTCATTAAATTGCCTAGGGCTTCCGTAAATTGCCACAATTAATCTTTCAATCTGCAATTCTCCTGCCTCAGCCTCCTGAGCCACTGGGATTACAGGTGTGGGCCACCTACTCAGCTCAAAATGACTTCTTTAGTAGCTTTTTGACATCCCTCCACTGTTACTTCCCTCACAGCTTTTCTTCCCTGCCCCAAATCGGAACAACCCCCACTTAGTCAGATCTGTGGGCTATTACTTCCTACAATCTCTCAGTTCCCAGCCCCGCCCCTCCTGCCCCTGATTTGGTGGGTTATCTCCCTCCTGTATCACCAGGCTCCACCTAGCCTCTCTGCCTTTGGTCTCCCCCACCTAACTTCATGTCCCCAGAGCTGACACCACCCCTCCTTTTCTCAAGACCTTCCCGAAGCTCCCAAGCACCCCCAGGTAAATTTTCATCCCTTTAGCTGGGTATTTGCGGCCCCTTCCTCTTTTGACTTCAAACATCCCCCAATCACTGCTGCCTTACTGATACCAACCCCGTTTTGTGGGACCACAGCACATACATATATCTGTACCAATATATTGGCCCCTTTTCTTTGGGAAACTAACTTGTCCTTCAAGACAAGCTCTGTTATCTAAGGTCAATAAATATGGCTCATGCTGAGAGTGCTTACTGGGTGCTGGACATTCTTCGAAGAGTTGAACTAACACATGTGATCACCCTCAGCAACCTACTGAGGCAGGTATTATTATTCCATCCATTTCACAGATGAGGAAATAAGGCACAGAGAGGTAAAGTGACTTAGAACATAGCTGAAGTTGGCCTGCTGGCACACACCTTCAATCCCAATGACTCAGGAGGCTGAGGCAGGAGAATGGTAAGTTTGGGCACAGCCTCAGCAATTTTCAAGACTCTCAGCAACTTAGTGAGACTCTGTCTCAAAATAAAAGGACTGGGGATGTAGCTCAGCCATGGAAGTATTGCTGGGTTGGGTTAATTTCCAAGTATCCCTCTACCCTAAAAAAGAGAATGAAGCTGAATATGGTGGGCGCATGGCCTGTAATCCCACTTTTTCAGAAGTTCACAAATAGGAGGATCACAGGATCAAGGCCAGCTGAGTGGGCAGCTCAGTGAGACCCTGCCTCAAGACAAAATAAAAACAAAAACAAAAAAGCTTTAGCAGGGCTGGGGTTGCAGCTCAGTGGTAGAGCGCTTGCCTAGCATATGTGAGGCACAGGGTCAACCCTCAACACCACATAAAAATAAATAACCTCATTATCACATCCATCCACTGTTAAAAGTATTTTTAAAAAAAGCTTTAGCAAAATCAGCAACAAAAAGTAGAGAAACTAGAAAAACAGCACAATTAAACTGACAAGAAGGGCTAAGGGCATAGCTCAGTGGAAAAATATGTGCTTGGCATATGGTTTGATTGCTAGCACCACCTAAAAATAAAAATAAATAAATTGATCAAGGATGTTTGTTTCCAGTTTGAGAGTTGACACAAGAGCACCTCAGCTGGGAATGTGCACACCAGGCAACTCAAATTTTTTGCAGCCCTGTGTAAGTATGCTCCTGGAGGACCACAAAAACATTCTGTTAACTCTGGGATTACAAATAAATTTTAGCAAGTAGGTAAATTTGCAAACACAGGAAACATCTGTGAATATCAAGAATCAACTGTATAGGATCCTCTTATGCACTCACAAACATTCTGTGAAGGGGGATATAGTCATAAAAAGGTGAGAAGCTGCTAGTGGCCAAATCGGTGAGGAGAAACCAGGAACAAGACTCAAAGGTAGAAGGAGAAAGACCAGGAACCAGCTGGAAAAACTCCATGACTGTCAATGCAGGACTGGCTGGAATAGCTAAACTGTGCAATAAGAGAAAAAATGTAATTCACTGGAATCATATTTACAAATATCCTCAAATATGTTGCTTGTCCTGACAATAGGTTCCTATCAATGTTCTAAATAAATACTTTCTAGAAAGAATAAATGGGCTCTTTCCTCAATTTATGAACCACAGAGATCTCTAAACCAAATCTCTCCTACTTAGAACTTTAGGGCTGTAGGGCTGAGGATATAGCTAAGTGGAAGAGTGCTTGCCTAGCATGAGTGAGGCTCATGGGAAAAAAAAAAAAAGAAAGAAACTTTAGTTCTTCAGTAAATGAACAGCCATTTGATACTTTTAAAAGTTTTTAATATGAAAAGTTTTCAAACAAATTCTTTTTGGTATAAACAGGTAAGGCAGCCACCACCCCCACAGCCCTGAGTGGAAGAAGAAAGCTTGAAAAAGCAAACGAAGAGGGTAGGGGCATGAGGTCCAATCTTGTAGCAGCTTTTGAGGAAGATCTCAGTCCAAGGGTAAGTTCAAGTCCACAGGTGAAACAGCTAGGATGCCCTCCTGGAGGGGAACAGTGGCAGAGTCCTGTGAGCAAGGAAGGTAGCCTCTACTCCCTAAAGCAGGCACATCAGCACAGTGAAATGATAGATAGGGGATGGCAAAGACCCAGAGGAGGGGGACATACACCCAGAAGGGGGTGGGCAGAATCCTGAGATTTAATGATTAAGAGCTGTGGCTTTTTGCTGATCCCAATCCCCTGCATGAGGGACTTTTCCTACTGGCCCCATAAAACAGGATAATGACAAAACCCCATGAGGTTTTTGTGGGGTTTAAGTGGGATCATTCCTTTGAAATACTAGGTCTAATACATGACCGCACTCAAGCTTACCTGTTATTGATCCTGTGAAAAACAAACAAACCCAATTTTAAAAATAAGCAAATGTCATTGCTGATCTCAACACTTATATCCAGTGCCCTTGGTATCTGCCTGAGGTCTGAAAGACCTCTTACATGGACTTCTGATCATCCCCAACTCGTCCCTAAGCTTGCTGCCTGCTCCTCTGCTCACCTTCCCATCACAGAACTCACAAATCTCCAAGACAGTCCTACTGCATCTCAGGCCAGCATCTTTGGCCTAGTCCCCACATCCAGCCCATTAGCAAAACCTGTCAGCTCTTATCTCCTTGGGCTTCTTATTTCTCTCAGGTACCCTATGGTCTGTCTCCCCATCAGCCAACAGAGGGAGCCGATTAACAAGGAAACCAAATACCGGCTCCATTGAGTCCTTGGATCTCTACGAGTCAAAATCCAAGTTCTCACAGTGACCACAGGCCAGGCAGGGTCTGGCTGTACCTCCTGCTCTCATCTCTTGCCGTCTCTCACTTGCCCACTCTGCTCTAGCCCTAAAGGCCTCCTGTCCATGCTCCTGAAACACACCCGACTAGCTCCTGCCATTCTGGGAAGCAAACTGAGACTGGCAGTCCTTCTCCCACTGAATCACCATAGTGACCCATAAGACAAGTAACTGAGATGATGCTTACTGATCCAGGGGGCATACTGGTGCTCAAGCAGATGGGGACAGCTGACAAGATCACACTGCCAACATGCCAGACCCCAAACCCATTCTAAGACAGCACTGGAGATAAATCTGTGAGCAAATATAAGGTTAGAGTCCTGGCCTTCTGAAACAGATATGTTAGAGAGAGAGGGAAAGACAACGGACAAAAATCTAGAAGAAAGTACATACAAATCCATTCCAGCATGTGTTAAAGGTGCTGAGTGCTGTGGAAAGACAAGTCAAGACACAAAGGGGGAAGAAGACTAGGGATGAGGGGAGGTAGCTGTGATTTTAAATGCAGGTCATAGGGTGGGGATGTGGCTCAGTGGTACAGCACTTGCCCAGCATGCATGAGGCACTGTGTTCAACGCCCAGCCCACAAAAAATAAAATTAAATAAATAAAAAGTGAATAAATAAATGAGAACCAAGACAGGCCTCACTGGGGATGATATGGGAGCACACCATTAGGAGCAGGAAAGCCAGGCAGGGGAGGGGTTCTCCAGGGAAGGGCATTCAGACAGGCACCACTGGAGAGACAGATGGTAACCACATAATCACACAACCGCATCAGTGGTTTAAGCCAGGCATAGCATCTGCACTTATCACCACAGTGCCTGGTGTACAGAAGCTGCTCAAAAAACATTGTATGAAATAATGGTAGAGCTAGGAGCTGTGCAGTCACAAGGAACCCAATCTACCCTCCCCCATTACATTACAATTGGGTAAAGTTAAGCCCAGAGAGACTTTGGTGGCTCACCCATCCCCCTTGGGCCTGGATCCAGGGCGCGAAGCTGTGCACGTGCTCCACGCTGAGTCCAGCCAGGGTGCCCCCAAGTCGAGCCACGCGCCGGCTTAGCTCCATGGCCAGAGCCAGGCGAGCCAGGGGCTCCGGGGAAGGTGGCGGGGGCCCAGGGCACGGGATTGTGCGGCTCGGGCAAGGGCTGCCCTCCCGGCTAGAGAAGAGCTCCACTAGGCGGGCGAAAGAGCCTGCAGACAGGCGGGCCAACTTGCGGCGCAGGGCTGGGTCGGAGGTCAGCTGTGGGATGCAGAGGGGAAGAGGCAGGGTAGGCCTTAGTGCATTCTACAGTTAGCCAACATGGGGCTGGGGCAGTGGTTTCCTAATTTGGGCCAGTTCTAGATGCTAACACTAAGCCACAGCCCCATCCATCATATAAACCAATCATAAGCCAGATAATATGGTTTGGACCAAACTGCTCCCAAGAAGCAGATCAGAATCTAAGAATCTAAGCCACACCCTGCCTAGTTCTTAACAGCCAGTCAGAGTGAAGTCCTACTTTAGGGGTTTCCAGAAGGCTAATGTTTTAGTCACACCTCAGCAATCTTCTCTAGAGTCCTGTGGGCCAGGCTATTGTCTACAAAAACCTCTCTCGCCCTCTGCCATATAATTAATGTTACAGAACCATATAAATTGCCCAGGCTCTCAAGCCAATCAGATTCCAGGACACAATCACAAGCCACATCCCCTCCAGCTGTCCATTTCCCCCCACCTTCTAAACCATATTCCTACTGTACTGAATCAGATATTATTGTTATTATTGGTGGAGGTAGTAGCAGCAGTAGCAGCAGCACCACCACCTCACCCCCACTACCACTACCACCCCCACCTCACCACCACTACAACCACCTCCACCACCAGGGATTAAATCAGCAGTGCTTAACCACTGAGCCACATCTCTGGCCTTTTTTTTTTTTCTTTAATTTTTAATTTTGAGATAGGTTCTGGCTAAGTTACTAAAGCTGGCTTTGAACTTATGATCCTCTGTCTTCAACCTCCCGAGTTGCTGGGATTATAGGTGTCCATCACCATGCCCAGCTAAATCAGATTTTAGATTAATGTGCACACGCTCTTTCTCTTACTTCCCCAACCTGGCCCAAATCTCCTAGGTGATGTTTCCTTGTTTTATTTGTTTCTTTTTGGGGGGGGGGGGGGGGGTAACAGGGGATTGAATCCTGAGGTGCTTAATCACTGAACCAACATCTCCAGCCCTTTTATTTTGAGACAGGGTTTCACAAGGGTACTTAGAGCTTACTAAGTTGCTGAGGCTGGTCTCAAATTTGTGATTTTCCTGTTTTAGCATCCTAAAGCACTAGAATAGAGGAATGTACCACTAAGCCTGGCTCTCCTGAATCATGTTTCTGATGGCCACATCCCCTGCATTTAGGCAATGCCTTTCTAACAGCCAATGAAAACCACTGTCATTCAACCCTTCCCCGTCCCACTCTACCTGACCTGACCATCCAAAGAAAATGCAGATCTAACTTCTGATCCCAGTGTCCCATCATCCCACAACTCCTGTCCTTATTAAGGCACACAAAAAATCACCTTCTGGTTGATGACCTCTGCCTCTTCTTCCAGCAAGGTCACCAGCTTTCGCAGCAGGACTTCCTTCTCTGTGGTTGGCGGACCCTGTAACTCTGGGACAGAAGAGAATTCAATTCGGGGAAGAACCCTGGCTGTCCTTCTACCATCATCCTTCTCCAGGGCTTCTCTGTACCTCACCTGGGCTAGGGGGAGATCTCAGTTGCTCTTGGACCAGCTGTTCCAGCCGCTGGGCCACCAGGGCATAGAAGTCTGGAGTAGCTGGACCTGAAGTAAAAAGCCAATGACTCTGGAACTCTAGGACATTGGAAATTTATGGATTCTCTTCTTTTGACTACCTTGTCAGTTAGGAATGATTTCCTTCTTTTGGGGGAAGCAATGGTGATTGAATTCAGGGGGCACTTTACCACTGAGCTACATCCCCAGTTCTTTTTTATTTATCTTGAGACAGGTTCTTGCTAAATTGCTGAGGGTCTTACTAAGCTGTTGAGGCTGGCCTTGAAATTGCAATCCTCCTGCTTCAGCCTCCCAAGCTGCTAAGAATACAGGCATGCACCACTGTTCCAGGCTAATGATTTTTACTTTATAATGGGGGTAAAATGAGGCTCAGTGAGAAAACTTGATAATAGATGCCAAAATTCTTATACTTACTACTTTACCATGTCCTCCAACTGAACTTAGAATGTCAGACCTGATCTGAACTTTGAAGATTACTCCATCCAAGGAAAGGACATATATGGCATTCTTGATATTATTACCCTATCCCTTCCCCAGTTCAGACATCATCAATTAATTACAACACTCATCTTCTTAGCTGCAAATTCCTATTCATGCTAGTACTCCCAGCTGCCATTACTAGTGTATCCAGGCTCACCTATGAAAAACAAGCTATTGGTCACTCCTATTCAAGTCCAATGACCCCCTACCCCATTCTGACTCTGCCACTGGAAAAACTGAACAGCAGAGAGGAGAAATTACTTTTCCTAATCATACAACCTAATAGCCAGGAAGTTGTAGTTGAAAACCAGGTCTCCTGCCTCTCTATTAAGGGTATTTGTAGCTACAAAAGGAGCTTTCCTAGGAATCAGAAAAGGATGCATGGAAGGAGGATAATAACTAGCTAGAAAGGGACCAAAAGTTCCAATGAATTGACAAAAATACAGCTGGGAGTTGGGGGAGGACAGGATGGTTAGGATTGGTACTAGAAATCCCATATCCTTCCCCCTTAGTTGAGTAATCTCAAACTAGTACCTTATCCTATCTACACTTTAGGAACCAAGGCTTTTGGCTGTGTCTCTTTCACAGGTGATATGGGGCAATCTCTTACCAGGCTCTGAACCATAACAGGGGCGGAGGGGCAGAGAGCAAGGCCTGGGGGAATCAGAGGGAGCAGCTCCTCGCCTCAATGGACACGGAAGACATCTTCGAAGGCGACTCAGGAAGTCTGTTGGCTCCTCTTGGGCAGGGCTTCTAGGAAGGAGGACCTGAGAGAGTGATCCCAGAGATCTCCTGCAAGCAGATCTCCTTTGTCCTACAAAGGACATCTCCTTGCAACCCCAGGAACAGGGAATAGAGCCAGACGTGAAGAGACAGGCTGAGACCAGGCACAAGAGTTACAGAGGTCCTCAAACCAAATGCAGGCCCTGGGTAAGGACGGCAACTCCTCTTACCTGGGTGGGGTTGGGATGGGGGACCCAGAAGCCTCACCCCGCCTAAGGAAGGCAGCTAGAACCCTCAGCGTGTCCTCCCGGAGCCCCAGCTCCTCTGAGCCTGCCATGGAGGCACCTGTGTGAGAGAGAGCTAGAGAGTGACTCAAGGTTCACAGGGAAGTGGAGGCTCAGACCCAAACTTCTAGTCTTAAATGAAGAGGAGGTCATGACTCATGAATCTCCAAAGGGAGGAGGGTGCTGGGGGTCTGGACTCCTGGGTCCTCTAGGAGAGTTGAGATCTTGGAGCCCCAGAGGGAGAAGAGGGATGAAGCCTGACTCTTTCACCCTGGGAAAGGAAGTGGCTGGGGGCCTAGATTCTTGGATCTAAGAAAGGAAGTGTCTAGGGACTTGGAATTCTGGAGCCCCGAAGAAAATGGGGGCTTAGAGCTCCGACTCCTGTATACTGAATGAGGCATACACTAAGCTTCTGAAGCAATTGGAGGATCGGGTACTACCAATCCCAGCAGGCTTAGTAGCAAGCGTTCCGCGCTGTCCGCGCTTGTCTGCCGCACAGCCTGCTGGGAGTAGTAGTTCAAATTGCCCGAGGCTGGAATCTCGGGGACCCACAAGCACTTGGATGTCGGAGGAGACTGGCGCGTCCGCTCCTGAATCCCTGTCCGCTCCTCTTGCCTTCTCACCCCAGTCCTTGACAAACCCTGCTTACCTGGTTCCGGCCTCCAGCGGCCGCCGCCGTCCCCGCCCCCACCTCCACCTCCGAAGGCACTCACGTTACACACAAACTTTTAGTAGTTCAACTTTCCCGCGCCTGCGCACTGAGTCGATTTGGTAACTGCCCCAACGTAGAAGGGGCGGGGCGCTGAATCTCCGCCTAATTTGCATATCGCGTTCCCAGCATGCCTTTTTCCGGAAGACCGAAAAAGGGCATTAGGTGTACTGCCTCGGTTAGTCGGACCGCCCCTTTGACTTTTGGGTCTCTTAACCAAAGAATGATAGTTGTTTTTATCTCAAGAAATCGATAAAAAAGAAAGTTCCTGCGCTTGGAAACTTAGCTGACAGGAAGAGGGGTGCGCAGCTTGGAGTCTAAGAACTACACCGCAGCAACCCGAACGCTCCGATCCTTCCGCGGTACGTAACGCGGAAGAGCTAGAGAAAGAATTGGTGGCCTTCGGTAGTGAGGAACGAGAAAGGAGTGATAGTAGGAGAGGAAGGCTGAATACTCTGGGGAGAATGGGACAGAGAAGGACCTCAATGGCTGACGTTGAAAATCTGCTATGGAAAAATTAGAAAAAGCAGCGAGGGAAGAGGAGAGAAGGCATCTACACTGGGGGGACATAGGGGAGAAAAGGGTGGATTCTGCAAATAGAAGAGAGTCCACTTTAGAAATTGGTTGGTGAGCCCTGAAGGATAGAGGCAGATTGGGGGAATTGGATGGAGCCTCTGCGCTGGAAATGGAGAGGGGTATTTTCTGTGGGGTAATTGAGGAAGGGGGTCTAGACTGGAGTCAATGCAGGAGTAACATCTGTACTGAAATAACTAGCGAAGGAGAGCTGCACCCTAAAAGTTGGGGAACCTGCTTTGGATGATATTGGTGAGGAAGGGGTTTACAATAGAAAAGAGAAGGGTCGTCGCTGGCCGAATTGGGTCAGAGCGGCTGCACGCTTGGGAAGGAAAATAGGTCTACACTGATAATGGGAGCGAGTCCTTGGTGAAAAAGGGAGCCTTCTGGAGGATGGAAGGATAGGAAGCGATCTCCTCTTTGTACTCCAAGAAGACAGGTAAAGGGCCTGCACCGTGGCCCGTGAGAGGGAGGTGGGTCCGGGAGGCTGCCCGCGCCCAGGAGCTGCCTTGTGCGCGCAGGCCTGACCATGGGAACCCAAAAGCCGCGAATCTTGCCCTGGCTGGTGTCGCAGCTGGACCTGGGGCAACTGGAGGGTGTGGCCTGGCTGGACGAGAGCCGCAAGCGCTTCCGCATACCCTGGAAGCACGGCCTGCGACAGGACGCGCAGCAGGAAGACTTCGGCATCTTTCAGGTGCATGCACCAGGGGCGCTGGAAACCGAGAGCTCTGCACCCGGCCTTAAGGCTGAGGGGGCGACTGAGAAGGCGGAGAAAACTCCCGGTGGGGGCGGGTAGTGCTAATGATGGTGGGTGGAGTTGGAAGGGAGGGGCGGGACCAGCAGGCTCGGTTGTCTGATGGTGAAGAGCGAGCAATAATGGAACAGGCCGGGTTCTGGGAATAGAACTGGGAAAGTGGGATTAGAGCTTTAAGGAAGTGCATCCTGCAAGTTGAGAGATCACTGGGGATGGGGCTTTCAGTTACAGAATTCTTGAAATATTAGACGTGAGACTTTGAGCTCTAAAGACGGGGTTATAACCACCAAATTGACACACTAGTGGTGGTAAGTCATTAAGAATGTGAGGGGAAAGGGTGCCGGTGGCACGCCTGTAATCCCAGCGATTTGGCAGGTTGAGAGAAGATTGCAGGTTGAGGCCAGCCTGGGGAATTTAGGGAGACCCTCTCAGAAAACAAAAAAGTCTGGGGATGTAGCTCCGCGTTAGAGCGCTTGCCTGGCATGCCAAGCCTTGGGTTCAATCCCCAGCGCCCTGGGGGTGGTGTGGGGGTTATGAGAAGGTAAGGGGATGTGCCACAATGAAACCTACTATCTGTATAATTAATATACACCAATAAAAAGATTGTGAAGTGTCCGTGTTATCACAGAGGTACCCTGGGGGAGTGAAGGTCAAGTTAGACAGCCAGTAGGACCTAAAAGACTGGCTTAGAAAGTCAAGGTTTTTGAAGTTGAAAGCTGGAATCAGGAGGTATGGGTGGGGATGAGAAAGAAGCTTGGGGGTCAGAGAATTGGGGATGGAACCTTAGGGAACTGGAATTTATTGTGGGGGGAGGTGTTAGGACTGGAGGAGGCAGGGGTAGAAACCTAAAGGTGGGGGTCTAAGTCATCCTCCTCACTACCCTGATTCCACTGGTGCCCTAGGCCTGGGCGGAGGCCAGTGGTGCCTACACTCCTGGGAAGGATAAACCTGACCTGCCGACCTGGAAGAGGAATTTTCGGTCTGCCTTGAATCGGAAGGAAGTGTTGCGTTTAGCTGAGGATCGGAGCAAGGACCCCCATGACCCTCATAAGATCTATGAGTTTGTGAGCACAGGTGTGTCAAAGTCCGGCTTTTCATGGTGAGCTGGGATCTGGAGGGTCTTTCACACCCTCTTCTACTCACTCCCTTTCTCCATAGGAGCTGGGGACTTTTCCCAGGTTGATACCTCTCCAGACACCAGTGGTGGAGGCAGTACCTCAGACACCCAGGTAAGAATGCATCCAACCCTCTTGCCCCTTAGTCTCTTGCTCTGCCCCCCTAGACCCTTCTCCCTCCCAGGCTTCCATTCCTCCCCTCCAGCCCACCTCCTGCCTGTCCAAGAAAAGGCGATTGAAATATCCACTTCTTTTTTCCTCCAGGAAGACATCTTGGAGTTACTCAATGACATGATCTTGGCCCCAGTCCCAGATACGGGCCCCCCAGGTTTGGGTGTGGTCCCTGAGCACTGCTCTCAGCTCTTGTTGAGCCCCAACTTGGAAAACCCCATGCCCTGTCCAAACCTGGCACCTCCTGAAAACCCACTAAAGCGACTGTTGGTACCTGAAGAACGTGAGTACCAGCTGGGGGTGATAGGGGCTGTGGCAGGGGCCGTGGGCACTCACCACCTCTCCATCTCTCCCCTTTCTGTCCTCCGCTGCTGCTGCTGCTCAGAGTGGGAGTATGAAGTGACTGCCTTCTACCGGGGCCGCCAAGTCTTCCAGAAGACCATCTTCTGCCCAGGGGGCCTACGGCTAGTGGGCTCAGAAGCTGGGGACAGGACACTACCTGGACAGCTAATAACATTGCCAGACCCTGGGGTTTCCCTGACAGACAGAGGAGTGATGGGCTATGTGAAACGTGTACTAAGCTGCCTAGGAGGGGGACTGGCACTCTGGCGGTCAGGGCAGAGACTCTGGGCCCGGCGGCTGGGGCACTGCCATGCATACTGGGCTGTGGGCGAGGAGCTATTCCCTGACAATGGGCATGGGCATGATGGTGAAGTCCCCAAGGACAACGATGGAGTTGTGTTCGACTTGGGGCCCTTTGTGGCAGGTAAGTCCCCTGAATGGAAAGCAGCTGGGCATGGTAGTTGAAGGCTCTGGGGTCAGGCAGTTTGGGATTGATTTCTGCACACTGGGGCAAAGAACGGGTCTGCTTTGTCAAGGCCAAGGACTGATTGCCAGAGCTGGTTTAAAGCACAGGGCCCAAAACACAGAAGGTGTTCAGGACATTAGCTGCCGTTTTCATCATCATCGTTATAGTGCACACACAAACCAGTGGTAGGGCTAGCAGTGTACCTCAGTGAGGAGAGCTTGCCCAGCATACTGAGGCAATCCCCAGCACCACCACAACAAAACAGATAAACAGGAAAGAGAAAGTCATTAGGACTTCATTCTGCAATATAACTTTCTACAGTGATGGAAATGAACTGTTTTTGTGCTGTCCAGTATGGTATCCACTAGCCACACGTGAGTTTTGAGCACCTAAATGAGCCAAGTGCAACTGAGGAATCTTATATTTTATTTCATTTTAAATTAAACATTTTAAATATTATAGTCAAGGTGGCTGGCTACATATTGGACAGCATAATTTGGGGATTAAGGAGCAGTCAACACCAACTACCTTCTACTCCACACAGTATCCTTGGGGACATAGACTCCCATGCTCTGGAACTAGTTCCCCTCCTGAATCCTGGGGTACTAGGGTGGGGTGAGGGTGGGGCAATCTTCCAGCACTACCCTGATGGGAGTGGAGGGAGAACACTTAATTTTAACATTGCAGGGACTGTCCCCACTCTGACAGCCCCTTGTCATGGTGGCAGACAGAGGGTCTTGGGTCAGGGAGGTGGTGGGGTTATTACTTGGGTTGAGCACAGTTGGGAGGATAGTGGGTCTTTTTCCCTTTCCTAATTAGGATTCTGAACCTTTAGATCTGATTTCCTTCATGGAAGGAAGCAGACGGTCACCACGATACACTCTGTGGTTCTGCATAGGGGAATCATGGCCGCAGGACAAGCCATGGGTGAAGAGGCTTGTGATGGTCAAGGTGCCTGGATTCTGTGTTCCTGGGGCTGGGAGTGGTGGTCTTACAAAGATAAGAGGGTACTCCCAGGAACTTTGGCTTGCAGAATCCCCTATGAGAAACTCCTGATTAAGTGCCCCTGCCATCACCAGTTCCTCATCCCCAGGAGTTTCTGGGTATCCTTTGCTTGGCTTCACCCCCCACAGCCTGTTTTGAACTTTCCAGATCCTATAGAAGTTGATAGACAAGTCCTAGTGGAAGTCTAGTGGTTGAGTGTTTTCACTGACTTCTTTCTCCCCTGATCCCACAGGTGGTACCCACATGCCTCAGGGCCCTGTTGGACATGGCCCGATCAGGGGGCGCCTCCTCACTGGAGAATACCGTAGACCTACACATTTCCAACAGCCACCCCCTCTCCCTCACCTCCGACCAGTACAAGGCCTACCTACAGGACCTGGTTGAGGACATGGATTTCTAGGTCACTGGGGAGGCCTGAACCCTGACTCTTCACTTTGACCAATAAACCATCTTCCTGCTACAGCCATCACTTGTGTTTCTGGTGTTGGATGTCCCAGAGCAGCCCTGACCTTCAGCTGGTTGTTATTCCTGCTGGGGTCTCAGTTTACTTTTCTGTGCAGTTATCATAACTAAGATGCTCAATGTGTGGAGACCAGGCACCATGCAGGGGACAGCTGACTCTCAATTACC